CATCTGAAACTAATACAGAATAATATAGAATGTAAATTGTAATTGAAAAATAAAAAATAATATATTTAGTCATTGATGTCAGCAGTGCCGTAAGTTATAATTTATCTTTTAAGATTACTATTTCTACAGAAAATAATATCTAACAATTATTGAGCCCTTACATGTGTTCTTTTCAAGCATTAGTTCAATTAATTCTCACAACAACCTTTGACTTTGAGGTGGTACTGTTATTATTTCCCAACTACTGCAGTCACCCTTATCTGCAGGGGTATGTTTCAAGACCCCCAACAAATGCCTGAAATCATGGATAGTACTGAATCCTAGATATACTAGGTTTTTTCCTATACACGGATATGTGTGATAACGTTTAATTTATAAATTAGGTACGGTAAGAGATTAACAATAATCCTATATATTAAAAGTCTAATATGCTAAGTGTCTGGTTGTCCATTCAACCAATCAAAGTGTAATATGCTAATGATATGCTAAGGCTGCTCAACTGCTCGTTATGACGTGCACTGACCAACAGGGGGCAGACAGTTCACCAGTCGATCAGTCGCTATGACATGCACTGACCACCAGGGGGCAGATGCTCCAACCAGTAGGTTAGCTTGCTGCTGGGGTCTAGCCAATCGGGACTGAGACCGGCCAGACACGCCCTGGGGCCCTCCCTCCATCCCTCTCCAACTGGCCAACCTCCCTAGTCCCTCCCCAGCCGATGATGCACGGGTGGGGTCCCTCGGCCTCGCCTATGCCCTCTCACAATGCAGGACCCCTCGAGGGATGTTGGAGAGCCAGTTTCCGCCTATCTCAAGGGACCCCACTGGTGCATGAATTCGTGCACAGGGCTTCTAGTAACTAATAATAAAATAGAGCAATTATAACAACACACTGTAATAACATGTATGTGAGTGTGGTCTCTCTCTCTCAAAATATCTTATTGTGCTGTACTCACCCGCTTCTTGTGATGCTGTGAGATGACGCAACATCGACGTGATGAGACGAAGTCAGGTGAATGACCCAGGCTGTGGCAAAGCATGAGGCCGGGATGGATGTATCGTCAGGAGGGCCCTCCGTCCCACAAAGGCAAGGCCTTTTCCATCTTAACGGAGCACTTATCACAGACTGTGACCAGAACTTCCGCAGTTTGAGGCGCGACAGCAAAACTAGCACAAATTTCTTGTTTCTTTCTCACAATTTCACAGCTCGAGTGGGAGGTTAGTTCTTACCCTAAATTTTAGCAACCTGAGCATACAATTTTTTTCCCATTTCTTGTTACGATAAGAACTTTCACCTTTTCAATTAAGGGAAGCACTTCACGGCTTCTCTTTGGCATATCCGAGTTGCCAGAATCGCTGCTCTCACACTTTGGGGTCGTTATTAAGTAAATAAGGGTGACTTGGCCGCAGCTGGGCCTCACCTGCTGGTGGGCCTGATCCCAGGGCCTGAGGGCGGGCGCGGC